AATGGAAATAAAGTTTAGAGTAAAAAATAAGATATAATTAGGCTTTTGCAAAATAATGCGCATAAACCCATGTAAGGTTCTTTCAAATCTATGTATATCAAATAGTTAAATACTGGTACAAATCATGAGGGACCATTAACATAATTGGGATTTTCATTCTGTAACTTTTCCAGAGTCATAGTTATTAATAAGGTGTTTTTTTCTTATTTTAAATTTAAGGAGTTCTACAAATGAGATTCTTTATAGACATATTTTAATATGTCAAGTTCTCGCCCTCAGATACTTTAGTATATAATTGCCTGTATATGAAGCATTATAAATATGAGGAGGCACAGAACAAACATGAAGCATCTCACTGTTGTGATTATTTGAACAATCAGCTCAAGTTAATTTGCTCCTGCCCATTCCCATTAGGGAAATTGAACGACTCCAAAATCCTGTGTAAAGTTGCAATGAATATAGAATGGGATTTAATGAAATGGCAATCAATAGAAAATAGATCACAGTGATATTTGCCCTTCCCTAAGGACAGGCCAAGGTCTCTCAGGGTGATGCTGCCCTGCTCTGCCGCCAGGTTCTGCTGGGGGAGAGCACACCACGCACATTTCCTCCCCAGCAGAACCAGGGCTGTGGGAAAAGGGATGCACATCTCATACACAAAGCCTGCGTACCAGTAGGGTGAGCTGCAATGAGTGAGTGTCCTGCACTGTTGGAGGCTCAACCTCAGTTGAGTTCCTCAGTTTACGTTCCAGTCCTACACGGTTCATGCTCTGCCTGGGAGGCTTTGTAAGAGGAAAAAAAGATGGTCTAGAGCGGAGAGATAAGATTGAAAGATATCACAGCACACAGCTGGGCTGTCAGAGGCAGCAGGGACATGACCAACCTTCCCCTCCCAACAGGGTCACTCCGTGCCTTGTAGGCAATGGCGAATTCCCAGAGATCCCAAGTCACAACCACCCCAGGAAGGACAGAAAGCCCTCCAGAAAGATCCCCTGCTGTGACTAATTTGCAGCAAGCAGCTGAGCCAGTGCTTACTCTCAAAGCCCCAGCATCCCTGTAAATCTTGTCAGACAGCATCAGTCTCCCACTGACAAACAGCAACTTCAGTGCTATCGCACTGCACAGCTCCTTTCAAACACTTGGCTAGAGAAGAGAGAGCAAAACATAGACGTGTCCCAACTGAAAATGAAGCCATAACCTGGGCAACAGCTATAAGAAAAATGACAAAGGACCTCACATAAGTTGAAAAAGTTTCAACATTCCTTAGATGCTGTGCAGCAGCAGGTTGGCCAGGTAGGAGCACACAAAAGCCTGACACTGATGGGTCTGAGCAGAAAAAGGTTCTCCCAGAGCACTCCAAAGTGCTGTCATAATGCTGCCTCTAACAAGAAAGCTGGTTTCAGTGCAAGGGTATTCATGCTCTTTGTCTCATTTCAACATGGACTGCAGATTTCATAAAAAGAACTTTGATAAAAAAATGGAAAACATTGGTCACAGGACTTGGACAATACATGCAAGATTTCAATGAAGTAAAGATTTCAGCTTCATGTCATTAGAGCTTGACATCAGTAGAGATGTCAAGATAATCTCAGTGTAAACAGGCTCTTCTACCAGTGGAGCATAGGAGCCCAAAGGAGCTTTTTCTGATGGAAACCACAGACAATGTTTGCCTGTCTTATGTATAAAAGAGGAGTCAGGCACTATTATGAGCAGCACAGACATGGAGAGTGGGTACTAAAACCATCCACCCTAAGAAAATAACCAAACAAAAAAGCAGGTCAAGGAATTTGGAGAGTTACCCCGGCAAATGCAACTACTAAATTAAGCTTTTCAATCAAAAGAAACAACCCAAAAGAAATTTCTGTAAGTATGAGATTTTGGAGATTTTTCACTTTCAAATATTATCAGGAAAATGTAGCATAGGTGGGGGAACACCTGTTTTTTCTCTCGGCATGTAAAGTTCTAAGCATGGCAAAGGCATTCATGTTAGAAATGTTTCTGATGTATACCCAGATTTAGCCTTATATGGGTGAATATTCTGTGTAATAGTTAGTGCAGAATGATCTGAATAACTGGTGAGGCTGCACCTGGAGTGCTGTGTCCAGCTCTGGCCCCTCAGTTTGGGAAGGACGTGGAGACGCTGGAGCGCATCCAGAGAAGGGCAGCAGGGCTGGGGATGGGCTTGGAACACAAGCCCTGCGAGGAACCACTGAGAGAGCAGGGGCTGTTTAGCCTGGAGAAAAAGGAGACTCAGAGGTGGCCTTACCACTCTGTACAGCTTCCTGAAAGGAGGTTGTGACAGGTGGGGTTGGTCTCTTTCTCCAGGCAGCACTGACAGAACCAGAGGACGCAATCTAAAGCTGCATCAATGGAAATATAGGTTGGATAGTAGGAAAAAGTTTTCCATGGAAGGAGTTAAAAGCTCTGGAATGGCCTGCCCAGGGAGGTGGTGGAGTCACCATCCCTGGAGGTGTTTAACAGAGTCTGGATGTGGCACTGGGTGCCAGGGTTTAGTTGAGGTGTTGGGGGCTGGGTTGGGTTTGATGATCTTGAAGATCTCATCCAACCTGGTCATGCTGTGAATTCTGTGTGAACTCTACATGGGCAATCAGCTAGAACTTTTATATAGCAGTATCTCTCTGATGAAAGTTATGCTGTGCACTAAAAGCTGTGGCATTTAGTAGTTTACAGACTCATTGGCACAGAACAAGGGTGCTCAGAAATCAAAATGTGCATTGTAATTTGAAAGGTAAATAGATTTTTTTTTAATGTACCAAATCAGTTTTCCTGATATTTCTCAAATAAAAAATATAAAAACAGTTAAACAGTCATTTCCAGATCAGCACTGCTTATATCTTTTACAGACATGAATAACTCCAGCACTTAGATTAATTTATCACCAGTCAGGCAATTCCCTCTGCAAAAGAGTTGTAGCCACGTGGCTTTTTGTTTGATTACCAGTCCTGCAGGTAATACACAGCTCCTACACATTAGAGAGCTTGTGGCCTTGTTGCAATAATATCTTAGAACAAGCAAAGAGAAAGGACACCACATTTCATAAACATTGGGTGAGAAGAGTTCCACCATCCAAGTCAAGTTATGTGAACACTGCAAAGCTGTAAGGAGTAGCTGAGATGCAATTTACCATTTACAACAGATGGCAGGGCACTGTGACAGGTAACAGGCTGCACTTGTGGGAGTTCAATGACCCAAAACAAGCACCCTGCTCCAGGGTGTCATGTAGCTTTTGTACTGCTCCTGTCTTGTGCTAGGGTTAAGGTCATTGTCAGCAAAAACACAGTGTCAGACTAATGAAACATAGACAATGGCTCAGTGGAAAGATGGTCCAAATCAGCATTGGAAAAGATAAAATCAGCGTGCTCTCTTCATTGGTCTATTAGGGAATGAGTCTGACTAAAAAAGAAGAGAGAACCACAAAGCCCTGGATGTGTATGCTTGGAAAATGTGTGTTCTCAACAAGTTTAAAGCTTCTAACTCAAATTAAAATGGCTTCTCAGAACAATAGCATTTCCTTACACAAAAGTCACTTTGTGCAGCCATCACTTGGTGAAAAAATTAATAATTGTCCCTTCAAATTCAGACAGAAGTAGCTGAACTAGGTTACTTAATATTGCTTCATCTAATATTTCTTGAGAATCTCTGTATAGCAAGAAGCCTGTGGTAATTTCTCCAGATTTCAAAAAAGCCACAAAGGCTGCATTTTATTTACATCTCAGTGGATAGAAGATGAATGATTGCAACGTGGAAACACCCAAAACAGATGGCATTGGACAATATAGCCTAAAATAAGGTGATAAATAATAACCATATACCAGAATTCAATGCATAATTTCATCTTAAATATGGAATATTGTGTAGTTTTAGACAGTTACTTCTAGGCAGAGGGTGGGATGTGTAAATTCTAGTGGAACAATTCAAAAGTCACGGAGACCTAGCAGAGAACATAGCTGAGATAATTCTGAAGCAGGCAGCAGCTACAGGGCTGCAGAGAATGTGAGCAGGGGTTGCAATGTAGCAGTTGGGCAAAGTTATGACATTTCAATACCCTGCAGGAAATGTACTAGGCAAGACTCTCATTTGATATAAAACTGAATATAGACCTCAGGGAAACAAGGAAAACAATACTAAAGGCAAAGGAAATATTTCACAGCTCCAGAAAGCTGGGAGATAGAACCTTGTCCTATGTTTTCCTGTGTGCTTCATTTGGAAGGAAAAAATTGGTCATAGTTATAATATGTGCCAGTCAACCCCAAATCTGAAAAAAACCTCCAAGTTTAAATAAATAAGGCTATTTTGATTTCAGGCAGGCCTATACAAACTTACAGTCCAATGTAAATTCAGCATTTGGCATTGCTTAAAAGCCAAAGGAGAAGCACTAAACATACCCCATGTCACAACAGATTTTTTTTATTTTGTCTTTTTTAGACAAACATTTATAACTGCCTCATCCTAATAAACTACACCCTCTCTTATGGATATCATATCTATATAAAGGCAAGTTTTATATTACTTTTATTGACTTTGAGATACATGTTGGACAAATATCAATGTTAATCTCAGACACTTAACAATTTATTCAGCATTGTCCAGTTTACACTGAGCTCTGATCTTTGATCCTGATCACCCTGAGCTTTCAGGGAAAAAAAAAAAAAGACTTCTAGTTTCATTCTGCTTTGGGTCAGGCTCAACCTTCAATCCCCTTTCATAACTGGAGAAGCAAAGAGGGAAAATTATTAACATTTCTATTTTTCCCCAAAAGACATCCACTGGACGGCCTGGTAATTTGCCTTTTTTTTTAAGTTCTCATCTTACAAAATATATTTTTGTCAAATGCTTCAGAAATTACTCATAGATAAAGATCAGATGTACAAAATAAGAATACTGCTAAAACTGATTGCACTGCTATATGTAAAAATTATAAGTTTTTACTTAAGAAAGCCACAGCTCAGCAGAGCAGATTCAAAACTCACATATTTTCCATGTTTAGGAGAACGAGTCCAAATACTTGCTGGCTTTGCAAGATATTCAGACCAGAAGATAATGGGATCAGTTCTAAGTAAGTAAGGATAAGAATCTTATGTTCTGCAGTCCACTCAGCTGAGTAGGAGAAACAAACCCCTCAAAATTCACAGAGCAGATTTTCATTGTAAGCTTAGGATCGTGCAAAAGAGGGCGACACCTTCACAGCTGCCCCGGCCAAGCAGCTTCTGGCAGCCCCTTCCTCAGCAGCACACTGGCATATCCCACCGGGAATTCCCTTAGTGTTACACGGGCACAGCCCAAACTCACCTCTGGATTAAGTCCAGGTTTGGACCTGGGAGGAATTAGGAAGCCAAATATTTGGTCCATCTTTTAAAAGAATTCAGGCTGTTGGCAAAGGCTGAATATTCATGCAGAGCATAAGAGACATGGCCAAGTGGCTCCTGCAATTCCTCGGGTGCCACCAGGCTCTGTGGGGGCCAAGCACTGCCAGGAATCTGGGGGACGTGTCCCATTGGGGTGGTGGAGTGCTGCCATCCAAAATGCCTTCTGCTGGTATCAGATCAGACGCAGAAGTGATTTATTGACACACATCCCCCACGGCAATCAATACCAAGGAGCACCTGACAACCCCTGAAACTGCCATTCGGGTGGAGTCAGGAGTAGAAATCCAGACAGTGTTTCCAACCACTGGATGAGGATTTCTGCACCATGGTGGTGAGGGGAGCCACTCACAGTGGAGGGTGTAGGATAAGTGAGAAATAGCTCCCACAGGACACTACAATTTCAGTTTTTGAGTCCCAGCTAGAAAGCCTTGGTTATTTTTGGAGAGGGTTTTTTTTTTTTTTCAGTGTAATAGATGTGCTTCAGCAAATCCAATCATATTGCAAATCAATGCTGCAAGACATTTACTATCAGAACAACAGCTACTAAAAGGGCATTAATACAGATCATCATAACCTATTTCCTTGCTGTCCTTCATATTTTCCTGATTGTTAAAGGAAAGCAAAAAGGCAAAAAGGTTTTCCTCTGTGTCAGCTGCTCCATCAGGCAGGGTTTTTTCTGCTTCACAGATTAATGCTAAAGACAAATAATCAAAAATGGAAATAAGATGGCTCTCCTGATGATGTTCAGTGAGACAGACAAGATTGTCACTCATTGTATACAAGTGTTGTTGCTGACAGGTGAAAAATTATCTGCATCAGGAAAAGCAAATATGACTCAGAAATAGTTTGTAAGGAGAAAAAAAAATCATTCAAAGATCTAGAGATTCTCACTCCCCATAACCACATGCTTTATGAGTTTTTACAGAGAGAAGGCTAATAGCTCACAAGAAGGAAAAAAAATCTTTTAGCGGCAAGAGTTACTAGAGAGTTACTGACACCACAGTTCAATAGTGGTAGCATTTCTCTTACTCTATATTTCTTTGACTATGTCAAACTGATCACAAGCCTGAGAAAATAATCACCTAGTCATGTACTTTTTCAGAGAAAGAGGGAATTGTATCAAGTTATAAATAAATTATAAATCATTACCAATTTAAAAAGCTACAGAGCAGGTAATGGCTGTTCTGCAGCAGAAATCTATAAAGCATCATGCAGCACTCATATCAAAGCCAATTTTGATTAAAATTTTAAAAATCCCTGTGATACTAAACAGATGTTGACAAAATTATAGCTGCTATGAAAAGCAAATACTCAATGAGAGGGGACCATACTCCAAATTTGGCTGAGGCATCATGGAAAGCACCCACTGGAATACATCCCCTGTCCTTTCTTTTCCTAACATAAGTATAAGCATCTCTTCCAGGTTACCAGCACTGGTGTCCTAAAACTTTAATACTTGAAAATATGTTGGGGGTAAATGGAACTACATGCACTCAAATGGAGATACCTTCAAACCTTCAAATGGAGATACCTTCAAACCTTTGTTTTTCCTTAAATTGTTTAGTCTCTCACCTCACTACTTCCATGCTCTTTCCCAGAATCAGGCATGAGACTCCCACAAGCTTATGAATTTACTGTTTAAGAATAGCAAACGTGAAAGTAAAATCTGACTCTGGCCACTTCCAAGGGCTGTGCAGATTAGTAATAATGTGTCACACTGCATTGTAAACAACTGGTGAGAGATGGAAGTCTCTTCCAGCTAAGATTGCATTAACCTTTCATTATTTACCTTATTCTTGGACCTTATATTAAGCTCTCAGATGGTAAGTCAACTTTGATGTTAAAGGCCTTGAAATACTACAATAAGATCTTGTGCCCCCAAAGACTTGGCTACTAAATACAAACATCAATATTTCCTGAATTCTATGATGATTTCTGTCTCCAAAGAAGTTGCTGTCTAGAGAGGCAGTACTTTTCTTGTGTTTCTCCTAAGCACAGTTTAAATAAGTGAATGCCATCTCTAGAGGAATTACATGGAGCACCTTGAAATGGAACTGCATTTGTTACAGCAAGAAAAATATTTGTCTCAACATAGTAAGCACAAGAACTAGAAGATGCAAGAAAGCCTTTTAAAGTATAAGATTCATAAGCCTCATATTTAAATTAGGGAACAGATTTTCAAGGTTATTAGTTTTTTTATACTTTGAGCCAAGGCTAACCCTGCAATAATCACCTCCTTTTTTCTAAAGGGTGTCTTTGGAGGAAGTGCTACAGTGGTCCCAGTCTTTTGAAAACCTGGTAACAAGCAAATGTAAGTAATTGCATGTTTGTGTCCCAGATGGATTGCTGAGAAAAGTTCCCACAAAGCAAAATCAGTAACTCATGCTGCATAATATGTGCTGCCTTATACACAACTAATGAAAAACAACTTTGTGACATGCCGAGCATGCATCACACTGGAAATAAACATAGCATGCTGCAAATGCTTTCCCAAACTTGCCATTTCTGCAATCGTGTAATTTCTGTACAGACACATAATGAGAGCATGGTTTGTCTGCCACATCCCCACGTAGAGTACTGAATAGCGCCTTATATTAGCAGAAAAGTGACGAAGTTCACTTGGGAAACTCTGCATACACCAAAGAGACCAGATAATGGCATATCTATTCAGGGAAATGCCATGGAAGGCAGGTCCAATATTCAGAGATGGAAAGAACTGTAGATGCAGCAGGAATTCTGAACTTTCCCACTCCATCCCCCTCTGCTTCATATAGAGCTCAGAGCTCTCCCAGATTTCTCGTATGGGCAGCAGTCCAGAACATCACTGCTGAATTACATTTTTAAAAATAGTGATGAAAAAGTCGCAGCAAAAGCCTCCAAAAATTACTCCTGAGGACTGGCATTATTGTATTTTACTGTAGAAAAATTACAGAGCTAGAAGATTACCAGCATTTTTAACTTAAATGATTTTGCTGTTAAAATCTTAAACAACCTAGTATGTTACAGCACAGGGAGAAACTCCTCAACAGAAAACTGTTCAAAGAGACAAAATGACAGCAGGAGCAGCAGGCACACATGTGATCACCCCCTCTGCCAGATGACAGGCTGTGCTCAATATCTTCAGAAATTTGAAAGGCCAGAATGCTGCACCAGCAACAAAGTTTGCTTTAAATAAAACACCTTGAGATTCCAGCAGTAATCAGAATGCTCTCCTTCTTAAAATGCCTCCTTCACTGTACCTGAAAACACTACTCATTGAATTTTAATTCATTTAAAAGCTTTATGACACCAAAAATGGAAAGGTGGACTCACATAAAAAGCCAGGTACTCTAAACCAAGTGGATTTGCAGCTCTTCAGGAAATGTAGGCAAAGCGTTTGCCTACCTTAGATTTACTGTGGGATTAGATTTACTAGGGAGCCCTGCATGTGCAGGAAAGTGCAAGGTTGTAGTGTAGGGCCGAGACACTACTTTTTAAGTGTCCCTATTACCTCCAAAGCACTCTAAAGGTAATGCATATAGGCAGGCAGTATAAATTTGGCTTCTGAAATATTTACAGATGTGCCCATAATCTATAAGACCTACTTGAAGACAGAACACAGTGATGAAAACACAGAATTCTGGCTTGTCTGTGAAGCTTATAAGAAGATAAAATCACAGAGGAAAAGGATTTCCACGGCCAGGAAGCTCTTTATGAGTTACATCCAATCCCAGGCTCCCAAAGAGGTTACTACAAGATCACGAGCTCTTTATTTCATAGAAATGCCTGAAGCGTCACACAGCAGACCAACAAGAAATGCCTAGTTCCTCTTACACCAAAGGGAGTGAAAACTTGTGTCCACCCTCCCCTCAAACTCTTTTCCACACAGAATTTTAATATTTGAATCTACATCTCACCTGCAGGCAAATACTTCAACTACATCCACCAAGAACACAAGCAAAATGCACGACTCAGTTAAGAACCAAATTAATGGATCTCTTTTCTTTTTTAACACCAGATCCAGAGGCCATTGATATCACTTCACTATATTTTGGACTATCCCATTGCTAATATATCTATATCTATCTATATATCTATATCTCAGTCTGGTCTTTGCAAGAGTAAATATAACTGAGAAAAGTAAAAAACTGTGCCCAGTGCTGTCCCCTTTGCAAAATGGGTGAAGAAAAAGATTCCAAGACACATTACTTTTTTTTTCTTTTCTTTTTTTTTTTTTCAGAATACAGCAAATTTCTATGTATAGTATCTGGGTATTTCCCCCTGACAAATGGCTATAGAAAAAAGTCATTCCTGCTCAGCCAAACATGCTCTATGACCTTTAAACATTCCTGCTTATTACTCTCCTTGCAAAACTAAGCCAACATTGGCTTTTACTGCCACTGCCTCTGGCAGGCTGACATAACTATAAAATCATGCTACATTATTTTCTGGTTTATGTTTAACAATGAAATTATTATAGAGTCTCAAAATGCAGCCTCCCTGCTGGCACTGGAGGAGAAGCCAAACCCAAATCAGTTGGATTTCCAAATGTTGCCTGAGAGCAGTTGCTGCTTTAAATGACTAAACCGCTCCCTCTAATCCAAATCTTGAGCAAATTTTAAAGTTCCCTCTGTTGGTTTTAAGTGCTAAGTGGCAAAACAATGCATTCTTGTCCTTTTTTCTCAGTATTTTTTTAGTATGTGCAGCTATAGGGAACTCAGCAACACAGTTGCACTTACAAAACAGAAATGTCAATACTGCCAACCCCAAATTCATTAATCAAATATAAGGGCTTAAATCAGGACAGCTATAAATAAGCTGTGCAATTTTTTCTAAAATAGTGTGTATTTGAATCTTTCTATTGGCTGTCTCGTTTCTAGAGCTTCAGGACAGCACAATTTCCCATTTTCTTGATATTCGCTATTAACACAAAAACTATGTACCACTCTAAAAACTACATGCTCATGAGGATATGAAACACAGTTTATATTCAAATTACGGCAGCATTTAAAAAGGGGCCACTCAAATGACACCTCTGGAAGAGGAAGATCTCAACCCATGAAAGACATCAGCACCAACCAAATCTTTAGAGGTCTCCTCTCCACGCTAACAGACAAGGTCAAGCTGAACACAACCAATAGAACTCATCATAAGCTGATGGACTTTCAAAGGGTTCCTTTTATCTGGTGTTTATGCTGACCACCAGACCTTTCTGCTGTTACACACCTGCAGAGCTTCAATTTATTTGCTACAAACCATGAATTGCAGCAGGAAAACTCTAGGAATGAAAACTTTTCCCAAACAAGGTTGATATATGTCTTAGTTTGGAAAGACAGGTGCCTGCTAAGGCAGGCAGGAGCCTCCCCTGAAATGGAGAATGTAAACCCTCCCCACCCCTCCGAATTGCTATAAATTTTAAATTAAGGGGCTCTCAGGCAAAAATATGGGAACAGCAAATAACAGTTCTTTAATAGGGAAAAGGAAAAAAAAAAAGGATAAAATAAACAATGCAGTACACTAGAACAACACTGACAGAGTCAGAACCCAACCTGACACCCTGTGGGTCAGGGTGTTGGTGGCAGTCCCATTGGAAATGTGGCTGCAGCCCTCCTGCAGTGTCAGGGGTGGTTCTGCTGGAGCAGGGATCCTGTAGAGAAGGATGTATTTATTCTTCCTCTGAAGATCCAGTGGGAGAAGAGGCAGCTGCTGATCCTGTGGGGAATCCCATGGAGAAAGCCGTGCTGGCACCTCAAAAACCTCTGGACTATATCTGGGTAGGAATGCTTGGCTCCTCCCTCTGGGCTCACATCTCCCAGTGGGATGCTGTAGTTCTTATCAGCCATGCAGTGACATTCAATAGCTGTTATCAGCAATGTCCCCTCCCGAGGGAGGTGTGACTGTGGTCACTCAAAGAGAGAGATAAGGAAACTGCCCACTTGACAAAGGGAATCTGCCATACAGATGGTGATGGAAAACATCTTACATTGCAATCTTCAACAATATATAAGCGCAATTTTATCTCAAGCCATAACACTTTTAGTCTTTTTTTTTTTTTTTTTTTCCATTGGTACTGTGCACCTCCAGGCACTTGCACTCATCAGTTTTTTTCTGGAACCTAACTGTAGCTCTAGGAACAATTCTTAGCAGAAGAAAGCAGGTTTGGATACCAGCAATTTTCAGCTGCTCCTTCCACTGCAGCCACTCCATCCAAACCATGCTGACAGGACAATTCCTGTCTGAATTGTCCCTGTTCTCTTACTCTTCCTAGAAGCAGTGAGCAAACCAAACTCATCCTGCTAAACTCCCTCACATTTGGAGCCATATTCTGCATACAGGCCCAGCAGCACAGACTCCACGGCTGCTCTCAACCTCCATTAACCACAGTAGTCAGGACTGAACTGGCCTTCTTGCTTTTGTTTCAGACAAACATGGACAGTCCTGCTGGGAAACCAATTATGAGGAATGTTCAAGAGCCAACACAGTCCTGCTTTGATGGAGAGCAGAGAATACTCTACAGGCAGATGGAAAGAGATTCCTACTCCTGATTGCTTGAATCACAGTTCTACCAAAAGCTCAAACACAGTCTTCAAACTAATGGCAACAATTCAATGGGAAATTGAAGAGAATGGTTGAAAATGTAAAAGGTTTCTTCTGGCACCCACGTGTTTAAGGTTTAAAGAAGACAGCAGAAATCAGGCAGCAGAGGAATCCTATTATTAAACTGTTCTGTTGATGTTAGAATTCACAAGGCACTATCTTCCCCCTCCCCAAGGAAGTCTCCTTGTTTTGTTTTCCTCACCCCACAATAAAATCCTAAAAACTGGGGTTTAGGGAAAACTGAAAATATTTTTTTAAAAGCATTTTGCTGTTGGGAAATAAATGTTTATTTGACTATGCATTAAAGGAGAAAAAACATCTGCATTGCTGCATTTGCTGTTGTTTTAGTCTTACAGTTTTTCAAAATAAAAGGAAAAATATAAAATACAGCTGTTTGTCTAAACTATGGAGTATAGTATTCATGTGTATTCATTGGTGTAGGGTCAAGTTTATGCTGATTATCATGTAAAACATGAGCTATGAAGGCACTTGATCTACAGTATACTAAAATAATACCAGTGTCTTCTGGGTTTTTCTTCAGAGATAAAATGCGTTGGTATTTTGGCTTGTTTTTTCTGGGTATGGACACACAAACACATTACTTTCCCTTCAGACTCCCTAAGAATTAGATACCAGCAAGCCTGACCCTTGAACATCCTCCTGCAACACAGACATGTGTAAAATAACAGGAGTAGAGAATAGAGATAAGAATTGTTTTTATGTTCTTCTCTCTGTACTTCTTTAGGAAAAAACCCTGAGAGAGAATTATGTCTCTCTGTTCAGGGAATGCAAATGCCACACTGGTTTACATCAATAACTAATCTGATAATTTCAAACCTCATTAAACTTGGACTCTAAGCAGCACTATTATTGTGGTGTACAGCACAGGCTACTCCTGCAGAGAGACACAGTGATTTACTGATGACAGGTAAGTATGGTAATCAATAAATACCAAATGTACAATATGATGTCTGGCTTTGCAGAAAGTTATATTGGTAAATTGTAATTATATGTGGGCCCTAATGACAACATGGCAATGACAACATGTGATGGAAATGAACATGTTTAACTTATCAGTTATCTAAGGCCTCAACATCCATAATTTTTTTATTGAATTCTCAAGCTAGGATTCATGTATATGTCCACAGCAGAATACAAAGTAAGTCTGAGCATAACCTCCACCAGAACAAAAAGCTTTAAGAGAATTTGGTGTTGTAAGTAAAGGGAGTGCTACTATAACAGATCATCCTTTCCTTTTGCAGTGACCCCATATAAAGGGATTATCATACAAATATGTGATTATACAGCTCAGAAAACCACTCAGCAAGAAAAGACTCCCCAGGAAATCCAGCTGGGGATAGCATAGCTTTTGCTGCTGTTAATTCCTGATGGGTATACAGAGAATTGGACTTCAATTTGATTACGCCTGGAAGATGCCACAGCAAAGAAAAAAAATTACATAATCTCTTAAAAAAAGCAATTCCTGCAGGAAAGTAAATAGGTGACAAAAACCAGCCTGAGCAGAAGTAAAAAAAAACCTCAACAAAATACACACAATAAATAAACCAAGGATCACATTAAGGAAAGTCTCCCCACTTCTGTTTGACTTAGAAATTGAGAAGACCTTGATATCTGTGTTAAAGTGGAAGAGTCTTGTGGTGACCAAGAATAACAACTCTGCGTACCCAAACAGGTTCAGCACGCACAGCTTTCCAAAGGGGTCACTCAAATGGCTGCTCAGGTCCTAGGCTGATAGACAGACCCTTCCTCCCTGCAGAAAGCAGATTATCAAGAAGGAAGAAAAAACCTACCCACAGAGGGAATACTGAGGGAAATCACAGAGGGACGCACAAACATGTTTTTATGGCACAAAATGTTTAGTGGGTATCTTACAGATCATGAGTCTAACAACTTTTATTCTTGGTGGGCTTATTAATTTTATATTTCCTTCTAGAAATAAATAAAATGTTGGGGTTTGAGGCTTGTTTTCCTCTCCCCCGTGTTTATCCGACACTCCCCAGCTGGTAAAAAAAGAGGGTCTTTTCCCCAAAATAGATTTGTTGTTAACTGCTAGAGATCTTTCTCTTGCTTGACTTTTCTTTTAGGTTACCAGGTGCAGGGCAATAACACAGTATTTCATCAGGTCATATGATTTATAAAACAGTAACTAGTGGCAGCTGCAATAACAAATCACTGCTTTTGTCATTTTCATTAACAGCACTTGAATGAGCTCAGGTATACTTTTCCACTGGCAGACAAATCTAAAAGGCATTTGTTCACATTAATCATTCAAAGCTGCTGTTAAAAAAGATAAAAAACTTGAAAATAGCTAAATTGGCAGAATTCTCCTTCTTCCCTCATATATTTAAGAGTGAAAAAAAATCAAAGGGGTGATTATTCAAATATTAAGTTTGGCAAGATTAAAATGAAGATTAATAAAACCACTACAGCAATTAAATGTAATCAACCTTGGAAACTGTTGACCTATGGAGGGTCCCTTAAGAAAATCATAAAAAACAACCCATACTGGACAGATGGTCTAGGGCTTTTTTGGGTTTTGTTTTCAAAAGAGCTGACAATTAGATCTCTTTTCCTTTGTAAATATGAGCTATGTTGGCCTACTTTCTTAATAACAGCTGTGAAATTTATACTCTATCATTATACTGTTATTTCCATGAATTTTACATCAACTCTTTGTGTATAGATAATTAAGTGTAGAATTAAAAATGCAGATCGTAGATCAGGTCTATAAAACAAAGTAAAAATCTGCTTATAATTAGAGTGACCCAAAATAAAACTTTGGAAATAATGTAGCCTATTTTTTTTGGTACAGATGGGTAGTAAATGACAACATAAAATGTCTCTCCAATGTGCATTCCAATGATTTCAGAGAATAAGTTGTTGGGAGGATTTTCTCTCAAGTTCTCCTCATTATTTTTGTACTTCCATACTGACTCTAGATATCCCTTCTTTCAACTCTCAAGAAATGAATGTTAGGCAGTCTCACTCTAAGTGTAGCAATGAGCCATTACACAGAACTTGGTACAGTAGACAAGCAATCTAAACAAATTGTGAACAGAGATGTTTATCACCAATTACAGGCCAGATGAGGATGTTTGGGAACTTACATCTTCACAGGAAAGGGAAATGACAGCAGCATTTCCAAGTATTACCAAATGTACAGTACTGTTGCAATCACAGGGCCCTTCAGAAACCAATGTTTGAGCTAACGCTCACTCAACATAGAGCAATGGAAGAAGTCTTCCAAAAAGGACATTTTGCTGCATGTGCTGATTAGCTGAAACCCATGGCTATAGAACATAGCTGGTTTTGGGCAAAGACTGCATCCTGACGCAGGTTTACCTACAATCTCCTACAATGCAGCCTCACAGAGATGGTAATCTCAGTGGAATTAACCATTTAATTTATGTCAGTAGTTTTAAGAAGCTTTGCTATTAAGATTTTAAATCTCAAATTTTAAAAAGGCTTTAGCAAATATAAACTTAAAAAATTCAAATTTAAAATAGCAGACCCAAATCAGGGTCTGATTAGAATACACAAAAGATTCTAACTTTTTAAATCAAAAATGAAAAAATAAATGAGTGAAACAAAGGCAGATAAAAATATGCAAGAAGAGCAAACTATCTATTGAGGAAGCAAATAATGCAGTCCAGCATTCTTTGAGATACTACCATCATATGTACAAAGATTCTAAGAACTGTGAATTCTCATTACACCCAAAACGAGACCTCAGCCACTTGCAGCCAAATTGTACAATGGGCTCTTCAGAAAGGAATGCAAATTATTAGGAGTACAATCATGTCATATTCTGGATCCCAGGCAGTGCCTTTCTGTTGACTTTCATGTGCCGACACGTCCTTGTGAGAGCTGTGATGTGAAATGGGATGCTGGGAAGTGTTCTGCAGCTGCTCAGCATTACGAGCACACACATTCTGCCTTGGCGGAGCTGCACTAACCCTTCATAATGTGTGAACCCCTTGGGATGTGTGAGGCTTCTCCTGGGACCAGGACATCTGCCACAGGTCACTGGACATCCTGTGCATGCCCTGCTAGTAAGTGGATGCCACAAGAGGTCCTAGAGCATCACTGTAGGACCAGAGGCCTGTGCTTACACAACTGAATCAAACCTGCTTCTTAAATATATCAGCTGAAGGTTTCACATTTGCCAGCCTTTACCTACCACTGGCATCTTACAACAGCCTTTCAATGAATGGTTCGTCTATAAACTTCTTTTTCTCTCCAGAACTGCCATGACAATTATCTCAAGATTCCCGTACCTCAGATTTCACTCAACTCAAAATATGACAACTATGCAGGAACTAGGAGCCACTCCTCACTGGAAGGACATGCACCTCACAAAATTGAGAAATGGGGTAGGTCCACACTGTGGAGATCAGTCAAACGGGGGTTCAACCATGGCAAACCTCCACCAATGAGCTACAGCCGTCCTTCCCAACTACAGTTCTCCAATGCCATGTCCTCTCTGGATTTCTGCATTAGGCACACAGACCAGAGGATAAGGGGGAAATCCTGAGGCTTTACATGAGGCCAGGAGCAAGGCTGCAATTCCTCTTCCACAACCCCACTACCCCATAAGTTGCAGGATCCCACAGATCCATAGCCTGTACTTCTCAGTGGGAAACAACGCAGAAGCCAAACCCTAAAAGAGGGCACCAAAGGTTTGGTGTGAGCATTGCCTTCCTGCCCAGCCCTGCTGTGGCGGCGAGAGCATGGTGCCAGGCCTGAGCTACAGCACCAAAGCCCAGCTGGAGACTGCATTTCTGATTGCTGGCACTCCTGGCGCTTGTGAAATGCGCGCTGCCTCTGCATCTGCTAGCTGCTGAAGGAACGTGGCGTTCTGCTCCTCCCAGAATTAGTTTGCTACCCCTGTCTAGGGTCCTGGCCTGCCTGTCTCTTGAGTCTCAGG